TCATCCATCTTTCTCAAAATTAGGTACTTCCTTTTTCTCTCTTTTAAAGTGTATATATACATTTGTATATATACACATGTATTATATACACATGCATATTATATATATACACACGTATATACATATATACAAATGTATTTTGTATCTAGAAATAAGTTGAGCAGTGGCTAAAATGAGAGGCTGTTACAACACCAAAAAATAGAGGTCCTGCAGTCCTGCTCCCTAGATGTAGCAAAGCACCCTGTGAGGCCACTGCAGAAGGAAAGCACAGTCAGAATGGAGCAGGACACCCAGACTACTTCATACAGGGAATGCTGCACCCCCAGACATGTGGCCAAGTAGTTGTCTCAGCAGCTACTGCAGTCCAAGGGCTGAAACCAGTGGCCTGACACCTGACAGATGACACATCCCAGCAGAGCAGTTTACTATAAAATAAAGTTTATTTACTGAATAAGGACTTGAGTACACATCATCTTATGCCATTAGCACCAGGAGTGCACAAACCTGAGCTGACTAACCCATGAGGGGATATGTCACAGGAAACCAGAAAAAAACCCCAGGAATAACTTTAAGGGATTATATTAATATATTAAAATTAAAAAAAAACAAACCCACAAATCCAAGTCTTAAGAGTATCTTTGTTTCAAAGCCTTGCATAAAGCAAGAGAACAACTAGCAGGTGACAGAGCAATAGATTTTGACTTTGGGTTGAATATAAGGTAAGGAGGAAGAAAGGAGAAGCAGGATAGGTCAAAACACAATACTGAACTCCAGGCCCAAGTGGTAGCCAGAATAGCCTAGGGTCAGAAACAGATCAGTGTAAGCCAAAGACTCTCAACTTCCATGGACTGACTATTGGATTTGAGTCATTTCTGGGCTGATTCCAGGACAAAATTATCACAAAGATGTTCCTACATTTAATTTGGTCAATGCCCAAGGCCTATAACCCCCCTCATCCTTGCTGTATCTGCAGACTTCATCATTTCAGCTCATTGCCAACTCAGCAACTTGCTCCCAAATCTGGCTTTTGCACATCTACCCTCTCAGATTTCTTCATCATTTTCTACAAGCACTATCCAGGTACATCCTTCAGCCTCTCTCTTCCAACCTTCTCTAAAAGTGCCCACATAGACTTTGCCTAGCACTTAACTTGACCCAACTAGCATTGTTAGACTCCACATTTCTATCAGTATTTCTATAACCTTCATGCCCACATTAAGCAGTTACACAAAACTCACAACCTACTTAGCAATATCATTGACATTAATGACCCACTCACTCCATTCAAATCAGTTATGGTAACAGTAAAAATATGACTTTAGCAATCCTGGACTATACAATCACCCTTTTATCAGCTATTTCGTTCTCTCTTACCTCCCCCACCCCACTGCATTCATTGCTCCTACTTTCCCTTCTCCTTTTTGGAGACATTGGACTATTCCAAAACTCAGGAGGGAAAAGCTACAAGGCCCAAGCTATAGCTTTGTAATTTTTCAGGTCTGCCAGCAACTGAGGGGCATCATGTGGTCTTGGGCCATCCCAGGGGCTGGGGAGCATTCCATGCAGTGCTGGCACAGCTAGGAGAGGTGACCTCCTGGCTGAGCCACTCAGTCACACACACTGCTCAGGAGCTCTGTGCCTGCCAACAGACCAATGCCTTGGGGTGCGCGTGAGCTCAGCCCTTCGGCCACCTCACTCCAATCCAGGCATTTCACCCTCAGGCACAGGAAGGGCACCTGATCTCTCCCCATCCTGGCACGAGCCATGACGCTCCCTGCAGATTGTGCTGGGTGTGCAGCTTGCATTTCACATACCCATTGCAATTTCTAATGATCTGAATCAGCACATAAAGCCCCACATGCAATGTGAATCATCCTGAATTTATCCATTGGCTCGGGATTAACATGGCCATGCACTTTTCAAGGTCTCTCCTTGTTTCCACTCTATTGCTGTAACCACCTCTCTATACTTTTGCCTCCTTCTGAAACCTTGAGATCATTTCTCTTGAACTCCCCCAATCTCCAGACTGTCACCTTATCTTGCAGCTACTCCCAGAAAATTCAGTTCTTTTTGTCCATCCCATCAACACAGATCTGTTTCTTTCTCACTACTGCACTTTACAGAATCTCCACGTACCAAAGAATTGTTATGCTACTTCAAGGGTTGTGTAAGTACTTTCTAGGAAGAGCTGCACTTCTGAATCTCTCTTGCACCACCAAGCAGCTAAGTTTTGCTTCACTAAGATGGAAAGCAAGAGGTAAGAGTCAACAGCATTAAACTGATCTCTTGGATAGAACACCTGAGAAGAACAGTCACAAGAATTGCAAGAGGTAAAAGAAAGAGTCTCTAAAGAAATGCTGGAGATGTGAGTAGTGGTATTAAAAGGGAAAGTCAAGAGAATTACAAAGCAATTAAAGCAGAAGGAAGAAGCATCTTAAGAGAAAACTAAAATCATATCCAATTGTGAAGCCTTTATAAAGGAAGTCTGGAACAACAAACTTTATTTTATTCTGTGTACTCAGACACAGATCTGGAGGCTTAAAATACACAGTGATCTACTGGATTGGGTAAACTCAGTCAACATTTACCACTTGATATTATCATCCATTAGTTTAAAATATTTATGAGAACATGACAGTTTTAATATATTTAAGTATCATATATTATTCAAGTAGACTGTATTTTCCTTATTTGTCTGCCATTAATGGATTAGGCACCTGTAACACTGATACAGAGACATGAACAAACTGGTCATAAATGTTACTAAACAGAGGACAAACACACACTACACAACATGCACAAAACAAGACAGACAAGAAATTGCAACATCAGCCTGAACTCTCAGAGGTAATAGCTGTACAAGGAGAACAGGATTTTCCTCAGTCCAAGATTTCACTGGACCTTAAGTGGTATTTATCAGAGGCTAGACAAGAGTGCTGAAATTTTTTCAGGCAACACAGTACAGTAAATAGGAATGAGCACCTTCACCTTTTAATCCTCCTTACATCACTTGAGCAACTCATCAATACTTTTTGTGTTTTAAAACTCACATTGAATTTCAAGCAAAATAACAACTGATTGATTTAAGTTAATGCACCAACTTAGAGACCTTCCTAAACCAATGAGCTGCATGCACACATTACACCAGTCTTTGGTGTATTGCTGAGGTAGGCCCATGGCTGAGATGTCCTAATGAGTTATTGGCATTGGCTCATTGTCTACAGTTCAACCCACCTCGTTAAGAGCTACCTTAGTAATGGGCAAGTTTTCTAATTAATGACTTGGCCAGGTAATTTCCAGCTGAAAGGGCTGATGTTATGTATGTATAAACACTCTCACCAAACACCAGCAGTGATTCTACTCCTGCCAATAGATAAGCAGTGTACTCCTGGCTCAAGTCCACTGAGGCATGCCAAACACCTGAACTGATGGGGGGGACACAGAGGGCATGTGTGTGACAAGTTATTTATGTTTTGCCCTTTATCTTCTTCCTCCGAGCTCCCAAGGTGGGGTTCTCTTTCTGTATTTCTTGGTTTGTGTTTTTGTTGTGTTGGTCTGTTTTTACAGAAGGTACTGTACAATGCAGATTTTAGTTAATAAAAATCTGTCTGTTGCTGGTAATTCCATCCTTTCATCCTCTTTGTTTCTGTGCCACTTCTTTTACTTGACCTTGAAACTGTTCTTCAATATTAAAACAGGGAAATTTTGCTACATGTCTGGAGCTGGAGTATCTTGATACAGATGTTTTCAGATGGGTAAGTCTTTGGTGGAAAAATTTCTTCTTTATTCCCCATTTGTGCCACAGAAAGTATCTTCTTTATTTGGGGTACCATTTGCTCATTAGCACTTTGTCCTTTCATGCAAACATCTTCCACAACAGAACAGGTGACAGCTTCTCCCTGGTGTTTGGTCACCATTTATTATCCAACGAATCTGAGACTAAAGCTGGAGAACAGCTCATGGGCCATGACCTAGAGACAGTTCAATTCAGTAGTTAGGGGAATTTCATGTGAAATCTGAGTTCTGTAGATAATTTCTTGGCATGAAATCAAATATCCTTTTCTCTTCAGACCCCATCAGAACAGCTTCCTATATCTGCATCACCCACTTGCCCTGTTTATAAAATGTAAATGCTTATTTCCTTCCCTTTCCTACTCCTCAGTAATGAAACAATATTACGTATAAAATAAGCTTCCTGTGCAATGAAATTGCAATCCATTTCAATGTCAATTGCACAAATCTCAAAACTAAAGCTCTCTTAAATCTCTCCAGGTTTGAAATTGAGATCAAGCCACAAAATAATTTTGTTGCTGATTTAAAATCAGTATTTTTTTATTTCATTTATCTTACACTAAACCCTCATTTCCTACACTGGCACAGGCAGGATAAACTGGTTTACCATATTGTACAGATACATAAAAGACAAGCTTCCACCCCTCTCACACAGCAATTTCAACCCTGAAAGAAACAATGTGGTAGCAGCTTCCCATACCCTCCCATGGCACCTCTGTGCCTGTATCTGCCTGCCCAAGTCCATCTCTGCAGTGGAAACTCCTTAGTGGAAGGGCCTGAAGTTTGAATGCCTCCACCTTTCACTTGTGAGTCTCCATGCAAATTCTTCCTCTCATCAAACTGTCTTTTTCCTGGATTGCCTTTGAAAATCTCTCACTGCCCAGCCATACTTTAAGGTAGCTACAAAGGCAAGGACTGAAAAACCCCTGAGCTTTGGGTGACCCACTCTGGCCATCTGTCTCTTCTCACACTTCTTTTTGAAAGCCTGTACATATAGTATGAGAAAAGGGCTGGGTTTGTCACACCTGCCAAATGCAGGTCCTGCACTTTCAACTGCCAGCACTTCATTTAAAATGTACTACCCTAAGCTGTGAACAAATAGATTTATTTAACAAACAAGTTCAACATAGGGATAAATCTGTCAGCCTTAAATCATCTGTAATCTCTCTCTAATGAGAACATGAGGCTTTTAGACTATGCAGGATAACTCTCTGCTCAGCTGGTGCTCTAATGGGCTATGATCTTGGCTCTCACAGCAAAGAACCCCTGTAAGCCTGAAAAATGGGTGTGCGTGGGATCTAACACACAGAGATGTTGAAGGTCACCAAGTCCAGCAAACTTCCATTTTATTTCTTCCATTTATTGTTCTTCTGAAAGATATTTTCTGTGTTCCTATTTAACTTATGACTGGTTTAACTAGATCAAGTTGAAAAAGGTTCTATTAATGCTTGAGATAGAAGGATTTATTTCAGAGGAAGAAAATACTAGAAGCTAAGGAGTGTAAGCACATTGAATTGTGATTGTTCTTCTCTGCCTGGGCTCAATTCCTCAGATCACATATCCAGTGCACTTCGTACCAACAAGATGG